TGAGAGAAAACTTATTACTCACCTAGGCAGAGTAGGGTGCATACAGACATGTCTGGCATGGTTTGAGTGAGGCAGGAGTGGGTTAGTTCTTTATAATGGCTATAAAAGAGAAGTTCCTGTGTGTAGACTGGGATTTGTGAAATTCGAATTTCCCCCTGGGGTCAAAGTTTGGGGGGCACATGGACTGTCTTATCAAGCTGTACAAATGTGTCAAAGGGGAAGGGGGAGGTAAGACTTAAAATAAATCAGTAGTCAAACATCAAAAAATGGAGCCAGGTTCTTTATCACAAGTCTTTTGTAAAAATAATTTTACTTCATATTTCTTTTCTTCCTTTCTTCATATTGGATCATCTTGATTGATCATTTTTGTTTTCAGGTTTATTGATTCTTTTTATACCAACTCAAATCTGCTATTGAACCCTTCTAGTGAATTTTTCATTTTAGTTCTTTCAATTTGGAATTTCCTTTTTTTAAAAAAACAATTTCTGTTTGTAGATATTTTCTATTTGATGAGTTATTGTCCTCATACTTTAATTTATAAGTGGTTTCTTCTAGTTCTTTGAACATATTTATAATCTAAGCTTTGAGGTTTCTGTTGCCTAAGTCTGAAATCTAGGCTCCTCTGGAGACATTTTATTCAAACTGCCTGTCCCCCTGGTCCCTGTGTATGGGTCACACTTTTCCATTTTTGCCTGTTAAAATTTTTTGTTGAAACCTGGACATTTTTGATAACATAGTCTGCATTCTGATTCCTTTCCCCCCAGAGCTGTTTGTTCTCTTTGTTTAATGACTTACCTGAACTCATTCTTTGGAGTCTGTGTCTCCCACAGTATGTGGCTGCTGATGTCTCTGCTGGTTCTAACTTTCTTGTTTTTAAGTCTAACTTTCTTGTAGTTGCCCTTGGGTCAGGATATCTTAGTGGTCAGCCTATGATTGATCAGAGGTTGTGTTTAAATTCTTTGAAACAATGAGGCCCCATCCTTTGTCAGTGGTTCTCAAGAGGCTTGTGGGAATGCTTTCAAAGTTCAGGCAGTTTACAAGTCAGCCCAGGCTTTTGCTTTCTGCATTTGCAAGGGTCACATTCATCTAGGGATGAGTTGCCTTTTAATTTCTTTCCTGCATGGTTAAAGTCCTGTGCACATAGCAGGAAAACGTAGATTTTTTTTTTTTTTGTCGAGGCCTATTTTGATGGTCTCGTTTCTAATTCTCACTGTTAAATTTCTGGTTGATTTCCTGATCTGTTGCTTGCCCTAACTAGTATTGCAAATTCAGGCTAGTTGTGATATTGGCCTCCCTGATTTTTTTTTGTGCCTGGAATCATTATTGTTTTTGAAAATGCCCCTGGGCATGGAATTCTTTTTGCTGTGCTCCAGTGAAGTTTAGCTCCCTCTGGCTAAGTGCGGCTGCCTGTCTCCACAGCTCGCTCTCCCAGGTGGGACTTCATACCAAGGGATTGGGAGTCGGTGTGGGATGGTGGGAACTCCAGGTTAAACCGCCACATACTTCTCTTGTTCTTACTGAGATTCAGTAGATTTTCTTGAATAAACACTTCTCAGTTTTTTGTATGTCTTTGGTCAATATCCAGGTCTTAAATAGTTGGTTTTGATAGTTTTATCTGGTTTTATTGTTTTTTTTTTTTTTTTTTTTTTTTTTTTTGTTCTGGGGGTAATATTTGTCACATTCCTTATTCAGCCTTTCTGGGCATCATTTCCCCTGCCTTCTCTCTCTCTCTCCTTCTGTCTCTGTTTCTCTCATTTTACAACATTTAAGTTTTATTCAAACTGAATTTTATTTCAGAACATGTTATAAGGTAGCACTGTATGGGCAATTATTATTATTATTTTAAAGTCAGCTTTATGCCCAGTGCAGAGCCCAACATGGGGCTTGAACTCACCAACTTGAGATCAAGAGTCAGACACTTAATTGACTGAACCACTCAGGGGCCCCATCTTTTCCTATTCTTTGCTGACTTGTTTTTAGTGTAATTTCCCTTGAGTGACCCTCCTCTGTTTGGTGTTCTCACTGCTAATTCATGAAACTAAACTCATCCACTCATTCAAGGAGTGAATATAAGCACATATTCTGTCCCAGGTAATATGGGAGTCACTAGGGTTATAACAATGAACCCAACCAAACATTCCTTGTCCTTTTGAGCTAGAGAGACAAGTTAGGTATACATCACACCAACTGGGATATTTGCTGTGAAGGAAAGTTACAGATGTAGCTGACCTTGGGACATTTGAGTTTGAGATCTCTGTCTTTATTTCATCTGGCAGTAAGTCCCCTTAATTTTGAACTCTTGCCTGCATCAGGACTTGATACAAAGCACCCCATTTTTAATTCTGGCTTTTGTTTTTGTATTGTCTTTTTCCTGCTTGCAGCTTGCCCCCAACCTTTCACCTTACCCAAGGCTGCCATGAATTGTGTTCTTAGTAATGGTTGCAAACCGAGATCATTAACTTGTTCTCCTTTGGAAGTTATTTTCCCCCTTGTTTTCGTAACATTTGACTCTGTTGCTTCTTTTCCTACATCTTTGTTACCTTTTTGGTTATATTTTCTACTTCTTATTCTTTGCATTTCCTAAAAGTTGCCCTAACCCAGATTTTGTCCTGGGCCCCTTCTGTATCAGTTTACCCTTTCTTGGCAATCTTGTCCATTCTAGAAAACTCTGGGTTACCATTTTTATGCAAATGACTGGCTAATTTATCTAAATTATGCTCTAGTTTCCAAGTATTTGGGGTAGGGGTATATACATAGAGGTACATATTTCCATGTATATAGGTATACATAGAGGTATGTATTCATGTAGTGATATATAATACCCTAAGTAGAATTCATTATCTTCTCTAACTTAGTGACATTGTGATTTCCCAGTCTCCTTGCTTAAAATCTTGAACAGTTGCCACCACTTCTGTGCTCTTGAGACTTCAGATCTGCCGGGTTGCCAAGTGGTGCCAATTTGTCCTGTGTGTAATACCATGTCATGGGTTTCTTCTTTTCAGTGTGTGCTTGTTCAACCCTGGTTCAGGCCTTCCTTCCTTTCTCTGAGTCTGCTCTGGTTCTTTCCTAAGGTGTAGCTGCTGCTCTCTTTCTTAGCCCGAGATGACTCTGAATCTTGTACTGGGTTCATTTTTCCTGAAACACAGTTCTGATCTGTTGTTCTTCTCTTCTGCTCATCCATGCTTCAGAAATTCCCTACTGCCTTTGAAAAACGGGATGCTTTTCTAAACCTTCCAACTTGTTTTATTTTCCTTGCCACTGCCTCCCTTCATATAGGCTGAACTCTACCCAGATGGATTAATGTTGTAAGAACCTGCGTGTGTTTTCCTGTTTGTGTCTCTATTTTTGCTTCCTTTTGCCAGCAGTGTGCTTTTCTCACATTCTCAGTTCTTAAGACCTTAACATCTTTCCTGAAGCTCTCAGATTTCCTGACCTGGAGATACTTTCCTTTGGCCATCATATGTACATTTACCCATAGTTAAAAAAATGTAGTGCTTATCACTTCCCAACTTGTATTATTTCACAATGATTTTTATAAATCTAATTAGCTTTTGTATTCTTCATTGTGCCTAGTGCAGTACATTGTAGAAGTATTTGTTGAATTAACGAGTGGGTGAATGCATTCTGAATTAAACCGTCAGACAGTCTGGCCTCCTCTGTATGTCCTTCCTATTACCTTGTTGTTTATCTAAGACCATCTGCTTCTCTCCCTTTTGTAATTTTTTTTACTTTATCCTTGAATCTCTTCATGTATTGCTAAGTGGCTTATTACCCTTTGTAGCTTCTCTTTTCCTGAGTTAGTATTAATTTCACTTTAAAGACAAATTATGTCATTTCAGTGAAGGATGTGTGTGGGAAATTTACAGGAAATGGAAGCTAGTGTTGAGAATGACATCTTGATCCATTTTATGGGAAAGAAGCCTGCCCACCAGGATTTTGGAAATTTGCAAGTATAGGCTTAAATCCCTGGGCTGGTGGCCAGCTGAGAGTAGAAAGTAGAAGTTGTGATGATGTGTTCAATATCCAGGTGGAAGGCCAGGGGCCAGCTCCAGGGCCCTGGATTCCAGTCCACTGATCCAGGCAGCTGCCTTATATTCCTTAGAAGCAGCTGCCTGAGCTTTTGGTCAGATGATTGGTTTGAAGTGATGTCAGGTAAGAGTAGGGAAATAGATGTCTAACTACAGTATTGCCATTTTTGGAAAGCCAGTGAACCACCTGGGGTTCCTTGCATAGTTCTGGATATCCGGTTGTGGTAGTGAATTAGGTTTTTTTTTTGCTGATGATTTCCAAGGAATATTTACTTGGTTTCATAGATGAACATCATTTGTCCAATGTTTAATGCTTAGTAAATGCTGCATCTTTTGAGCCTAGTTTAGTACGTATTTCGTTATAGCCTTTAGACTCTAGATCTTTATACCTGTTTCTTCAAAATTATATTCCCTCCTGCTCTTGTCCATTTCAGAAGCTGAATGAAACTGCAGAAAGAACTCTTTTTTTTTTTTTTTAATTTTTAAAATGTTTATTTTTGAGAGAGAGAGAGAGAGGGAGTGAGTGCACTCACACATGCAAGTTGGGGAGGGGCAGAGAGAGAGAGAGAGAGGAAGACACAGAATTCCAACGAAGCAGGCTCCGGGCTCTGAGCTGTCAGCACAGAGCCGGACGCGGGGCTGGAACCCATGGACCACGAGATCTGACCTGAACCAAAGTTGGATGCTTAACTGACTGAGCCACCCAGGCGCCCCAGAACTGCAGAACTCTTTAATTTCTGCCTCATTGCACTGTTTGTGGAGGTTTTCAGTTGAAGTGGCCCTAACAAGCAGTTACCTTGAAAAGAGACTCAGGACAGATGGTGTGTTCGTCTGACTGCCTAGGAGAAAGTGACACCTGGACCCAGGAGGGGCCCCACATTGTTTTTAATCATCCACGTACTAAATTTCCGAGAGCACAGAGAAGGCCCCAGGTTAACTGCTCTTTTGTCACCCATCTCTCTTTGGTTTCAGCTAGTGACACCTGAGCCACTCAAGGCAGGAAGAACTCTGAGCTGAGCAGTGGAGGCCTCTCTGGATCTGGAGAGAAGAGGTCACCTTGGAACCAGTAATGAGCCATCCTGACTGCAGGCTGAACCTCCGGCCCCTGGGGACCCCCAGAGGTAGCAAAAGGAAAATGGAGTCTACTCTAGCAACTGGAGACCTGAAATAAAATAAAAGTGGAACGGAACGCAGGGCGGGTCTTACAGGGCGGGTCTTAGGACTAAGGGAGGCTCTAATTCTTTTGGTGACTTGTTAAATATTCTTCTGTGTTATTTATTCTCGAATTAAGTGTGGTGTCTTGTTGTCTTAATTTATTGTTATATTGAGCACAGCTGTTTAGTTTCCTCCAGAAAAGTGACAGTCTTTTAGTAATTCCTATTTTAAAAAAAAGTTTGTGTCTATAAACAGGAAAGCATATTGAACCCATTATTCAGATTACGTTCTGTGCATGTTGTAGTGCTGACTTATAACTCAAGTCTCATCTGTGTACATTTTATTCGTGTTTCCTAATCCATTCTTTCCTTTTTGTTACTATTTAAAATAATTATCAGAGCATTTCATTCTTTTATTGGTCTTTCTAAATAAAAAGGTAAAATGTCTCCAGTTACAGAAATAGAGATGTTTGGTTGAGGAAAGAGTTGATTGCTGCCTCATGTTTCTAGGTGTGTCCTCTGTGGTTGGCCCACATGGTGTTGGTGCTTCGCCAGGTGACAAAAAGGCAAAGAGCAAGTCCGTACGAGGGAAGAAAAAGAGCATATTTGAAACCTACATGTCCAAGGAGGATGTTTCAGAAGGCTTGAAGAGAGGAACACTTATTCAGGTGCTTACAACATACTAGATGGCTATTCCTTGACTATGTGGAATCAGAAGTAACCTATTACTCATTAAACTGTTTATTCTGCATTGTGTGCGTGACGGAAATGATGAGCTCGTGGGCACAGGACTCACCTTCTTACCCCTATGGTGCAGTTAGAGGTGGTAAGCTCCACAAGACACACAGACAGAGTGCTCTGAGATTTGAGAGGAAGGGGCCGTTACTTCCACTTAGGTCTGTCTAGGAATGTTTTATTGGAAGGGATATATTTGGGCCAGGCCGTCAATTGATGCAGTTTGAATAAATGAAGCTAAGAGAAAGTGCTTTACAGACGGAGAGATCAGTGTAAGCTACCCAGACAGAAGTGGGAAATAGAGTTTGGCTCTAAGAAACGTTGATAGTTCAGTTTGCCTGGAGCACGTGGATACTAAATGTTGAAGAATAGGGTTGAAAAGGATATAGTAAACAGCAGCAGGCAATATTTGTTGAGTGCTTTATAGTTTACAAAATGTTTTTACAAACTAATGCATTGGTTTGGCTCAGCAAATGTTTGTTGAGCCCACATTGTGAGCCGGGAACAGTTCATGGTTAGGAGTGTGCCGCCCGGGTTCGCTCGAGGTGAAGGCAGATGAGACTGTCTTTCTGTTCTTTGAGCGCCTGGCCCAGGGTGGGCAGGCAGTCATGTGAACAGATGATTTGGGGAGAAATGGTAAGCTCTCAAATAAAAGTGTTACCAAGGTGTATGGAAGGATGTTAGGGGGAAACTGGAAGACTGTAGGAGGTGACGTCTCGATGGATATTGAAGGATGGCTAGTTCGGGCCTATTGCACGAGTGATCCGTGTGCGGTAACAAGGTGTGGAGAGGCAGTGGCACTAATGGGGACATGAACTTGTGAAACAGTATAAAGTAAAGCAGCTTAGGTCTCCTCAGGCATGAAATATGAGGCAGGAAATAGGTAATGAGGTGGAGAGGGAGGCAGGACCACATATTCTTTGAATGAACTCTATTTTATAAATTTTGGATTGGTATAGAGGTATTGCGGTGTGTGACCCAGCTCACTTGAAAATGTCGATTGTGTTCCATTTTCTCTCATCCTGAGAGCCCACTTTCTATATTTGCGGCTTTGGCTGCAGACCCAGCCAATGAACACACACTGTCATCTTCTTTTCCTTTTTAATCACCTTTTTGTATTTATCTGTATTCAAGTGCACATATGATTAATACAGACTCTTTTTCTTCATTGTAACCTTTGACCCTGTTATCTCCCCCCCCACCTCAGCCCCTGGTTTCTACGCCCTGCTCATGCCTTATACTCCAGCCTCTGGCAACCACTAATCTGTATCCCTGAGCTTGTTTTTTGTTTGTTTGTTTGTTTGTTGGTTTGTTTTTTTAAAGATTCCACATATCAGAGACCATACTGTATTTGTCTTTCTCTGTCTGACCTGTTTCACTTAGCATAATGGCTTTGAGGTCCATTCGTGTGGTCACAAATGGCAAGATATCATCCTTTTTTTTAATTGCTGAGGAATATTCATTGTATATGTGTGTGCATGTATATACACCACAATTTCTTTATCCATTCATCCATCAGTGGACACTTAGGTTGTTTTCATAGCTTGTCTGTTATAAATAATGCTGTAGTGAATACGGGGTGCACTTATCTTTTTGAGTATTTTTGTTGACTCTTGAATGGAAAACTTTTTAACAAACAAATTGATCTCTACGATTTTAGAGGTACTATTGGCTTTTTTTTTTTTTTTTAAACTTTCCCTGGATTTCTTTGACAAGGCCTCTCAGAGTTGAAGCTGCATTTGGACATTTGTCCATTCGTTAATCCATTCATTTGCTGTTTATCATTGAGTCCACATACCGAAGTCTGTGTTATCTAAAGTTTCTGGGCCTTCCTCTTGTTTCATGTACGAAGACCCTTTGTGCCTTTCTCATTTTCATCTCCTGCCACTCTCCTCCAGGTACATGTTGCTCTATTCACCCTGCTCTTTAAGACTTTTTCTGTAAAAACTCTGCTCTTTGTTTTTTCTGTGACTCGGTACACACTGTTCCTAGTGCTTGGAATGCTTTCTCCCATTATCTTGATGTAATTGTACTTGACCTTTAAGTCCCTATCTAAATGTTACCCCCTTTGAGAAACCTTATTTTAATTCTCCAAGCAGAATTGGCCATGACTATTTCCTGAAACTGACTTTGTTGTTTACCCTTTATTCTAAAGTTATTGTCATTTCTTGGCATTTATGTTTCCTCAAATAGGCCATTCATTTCCTTATGGGTAGGGTTGTCTCTCATTCCCACATATTAGCCCGGTGCATGGCATTTGATTGATGCATAATGAGTTTATATTGAGTAAATATTTATTTACTGAGGATAAAGTAAATAAAGGATCAAGGTACTGTCTTCTGAAGAAGAGTGAGGGAAACTCAGTTGTTATAACTTGGAAGAAAAATTGCTTATAACTTTGGTTACAGAATTTTTAGAGATACGGTGAAGAAAATATTCTACGATGATACAGGTTTTGCTCCTTCTATTAACTTTTGCTTTTGAAGCAACTCTTTGCTGATATTAAAACAAAACAAAAAGCTGATCAATATAACAACTCTCTTTCCCAGGAGTTTGTAAATGATTCCTCCTGGCTTGTGACATCATGAGACTCTGCAGCCAGAGCCTCCCTCCACAGATGAGAACAGTTGTTCTCTGCAGATGGGGAGAGGAATGGGTTCCAGATATGAGGTCACCGTGTGAAATATACAACACTGTAAATAAGATTTTCAGAGGCAGGGAAACAGAGTCCATCTGCTTTCTGATATGAAGTTAATGTGTACAGGCCTTGATGGTAAGATAAAAAGCTAGACAAGAAAAGCTATTTGAATGCTGCTGGAGAAAATTAAACTTATTAGATATACTTGTAAGTATTTGTTAACTTTTGTGTTCAAATTTGAGTATATTGTGACATCCCTTTTTTCTCCCTATCCTGAGAAGAAACTTTTATTGAGCGATATTAAGGAGATATTTTAAAATAGGAGTAGGATAATATTTTTATTTTGTTTTCAGTGCTTTGAACAATAATTTGACAGTTCATTGGTGTTTTGCCCTATGTGGGGACGCGGAGTCCATGGTGACCAAAGGAATCTCTTCCTTGTACTTGAAGTGACCAGCAGTAACACATGATTATGTACATGTAGTTTTGAAAATTTGTTGTTATAAACAAGTTCTCACATCATACGTATGTACTTTCTCTCTCCATAGGTGTTGAACTAGGGGGATTATTATGGGAGATATTGGAAGAAACGAGAGTATGGGATAGACAGGCCTGCAGGGGACTTAGGTTTGGGGTGATGACCAGAGTGACACTGGGTTGGATGGTAGACCTGGCTGGTTTCCTGATCTCAGATGATGCTTTGGCTGAAGGTGGGCTCAGGTTGATCCCCCAGAGCAGGCTGAGGCATGATGTCAGAGTTCCCCCTTAAATAGAATATTGGTGTAAAGTTGTTATTGGATCTTGGAAGAGAGATCTTCCATCTTCCTAGTGCAGGAAGAGAGGACAGGATGGGTTAGTTTCTAAGACCATCATTTGTTATGAGTGAAATCGGCTGGAGAATGTTTGGTATGAATGAAAAAGAATAGAGGTGACATTACAGTGGACTGACCAGCATTTAGAAGGCACAGATGATCTTCATAACATTACTTCCAGGGCTGGTGGGAGAGCTTCAACTCTGCAGACATTCAGTAATGAGCTCATGTTTCTTGACTGCCTGCTAAGTGCCAGGCATATGCCAATGAGCGAGATAGATCATTCACTGGGGGAGACAGGCAAACACAGCTACGACATAAAGAGGAAATTACAGCCTGTGCTGAGTGCTACTAGGGAAGTAAGAAAGATGAGAAAGAAGAATTAGGGGGAGCCACTTTCTATGGGATGGTTAGGCTGCTCTGAGCAGGTGATTTCTGAGTTGAGATGTGTAGGGTGACAACGAGCCAGCTCTCAGGAGAACTAGGCGCAGAACATTATAGGCCGAGAGATCAGGTAGTGGGAAAATGGCAGGCAGGAAAAGCCTCGGTGTTTTTGAGGAATATGAAGAAAGCTGTTGGACATAGTGAGCGAAGGGAATTACGATATGGGAATAAGCTGAGAGGCAGCTGCCACAGGTAGGCTGTGTTGGAGAGTTGGATTTTATTAAAACTGAAGGGTTTCAGTAGGGAGAGGGCGTGATTTACTTTATGCTTTAAAAACATCTCTCTGGCAGTTGTGAGATGAACAGTCTCGAGTGGGAGCTGGGCGACCCTGTAGAAGGCCAGCAGGGTGAAGCAGGTACAAAAACATGGGTGGTGGCCGTGAGGATGATGAGGAGTGGAGCCGGACCTGGCAGGATGCTGATGGCTTAAATGCGAAGCAGAAGCAAAAGGAGGAATGAAGCATAATTCCCAAGTTTTGACTTGAGCAACGAGATGGACAGTTTTGCCATTCACTGCGGTGGGGAAGACTGGGGGTTGGAATGCGGTGCTGGAGTGTGGAGGGAAGGGAGCAGACGGCATAAGTGAGAGATGAGGCCCTGGTGATGAGTGTGGCAAACACAGAGGCAGTCTGAGGCAGTTACAAGCGAGGACTCTGGAACCAGACGGCTTGGGCTTGGATGTCGTGTGCAGGTGGGCACCTCTCAGTACCTTGGTGTTCTCATTTGTAAGAGGGAGGACAGCAGTACCCAGCTCATAGACTTGATTGGACGGTTAAATTAGTTGATAGATACAAAGTTCTTAAAACAGTATGTAACATGTAGTAGACTTAATGTAAGTGTTATTTGAGATTTTTTTTGATGGCTATAGGAGAAACCTTTGTTACTCAACTCAGGGGGTTGCTGCCCACGGAGGGTTAGCAGGCTTTTTAAGAAAATGTGAAAATACATATTTCTGTGTGAAATTCCTTTGCTTTAAGTATTCTCAAACATCCTGTGAGCCAAATAAAACATGTTTGTGATGGCCAAGTTAGGCTAATTAGCCCAGTCATGTGGTATTTTTCTCCAGTAACATTCAGCTCCTTGGGTGCAGGCATGGAGAAGGCAGGTAATTGGGGTGAACTGAGAGCAAGGACTTGCCAGTCAAATAGAAGAGGGAGAGTGGACCCAGGGCTCAGGGTTTGCCAGGGCAGGAGGTAATGACAGGCCATGGCAACTAGGTGGCCAAGGCAGAGACTAAACGTAGTGTGGAGACAAAATATGGTCAAGTCCATGGGTTGGAAGTCTTAGTGAAGACAAGACATTGTTGAAGTGGGGTATTTACCTTAAGTGAGATGCAAGGATAGAAGATCGTGATCAGAAAGTATGATATTTGAGTTTTCATGTTTAGAGTTGGTGTCATTAGCACTGATGCCAAGAGACAGCCGTGAACACAGGGGAGAGTGGGTAGGGTGGGTGGAGGAACAGGTGGCTAGAGTGACTGGCTAGGGTTGTCTGGTCAACCCTATGGATGAGAAGTTCCATAAGTGTTTATAGGGATGGGGGTGCAGAGGAAGACAGTGAGCTACGAGTCAGAGCACTAGGGAATCAGAGATATGATCGGAAGGTTTGAAAATGATAGCACTGAGGAGGTATAGCAGGAGCTAATGATATGATCTTCAAAGGATCTTGGTTTTGATCAAGAATGGAGGAAAAAAATTTTAAAAGCTCAATGGGGAAGCAGGGGGCAGACATTCTTATTCTGGTCCCTGAGATACATGGGATAGGAGAGATAAAATAGACTCCCTTTGAGAGCACATCAAGGGGAGTGATCCTGTCAGGGACAGCTGGGTTTCAGTTAAGTCAGGAAGCACAGGAGCATTCAGAGAAAGATGGAGCATTGTAGGGGCCTCACTGATCAAGTTCAGGCCTAGGAGAGGGTTAAGGAGGAAGATGAGTGATGAGGGTTTGGGTAGATTAGGTGATGGTCATAAAAATATGAAAATGGAAGTCCTAGGGGCGCCTGGGTGGCTCAGTGGGTTGAGCGTCCAACTTTGGCTCAGGTCATGATCTCGCAGTTCGTGAGTTCGAGCCCTGCGTGGGGCTCCGTGCTGACAGCTCAGAGCCTGGAGCCTGTTTTGGATTCTGTGTCTCCCTCTCTCTCTGCCCCTCCCCCACTCACACTCTGTCTGTCTCTCTCTCAAAAATAAATAAATATTAAAAAAAAATTTCTAGGGGTGCCTGGGTGGCTCAGTCGATTAAGTGTCCAACTTCGGCTCAGGTCATGATCTCACAGTCCATGAGTTCGAGCCCCACGTCGGGCTCTGTGCCAACAGCTCGGAGCCTGGAGCCTGCTTCGGATTCTCTCTCTCTCTCTCTCTCTCTCTGTGCCCCTCCCCCACTCGTGCTCTGTCTGTCTCTCTCTGTCAAAAATAAATAAACATTAAAAAAATTAAGAAATGGAAGTCCTAGACTTTTGCAGATGAATAAGACAAAGACAGATGTATTCTTTTGCTAGAAGAACATCAAGTGAGGGGGGAAAAAAAACCCAAAACAAACCTTAGATCAGAAAGCAATGCTTGGAATCAGAAAATGAGTTTTTAAAAACTTTAACTTCAGTGAATTGACTTTATTTGGAGTGTCTTCCCCTCACTAGACACTACACTTTATGAGGCAGAGACTTTTATTACTCTCCATCATGTCCCCATCACTTAGCATAGTGCCTGTCATGCTAGTCTTCAGGAAATTGTGTTGAGGGAGTGGATAAAAATTGAGGATAAATGTAATAAGCCTTTTATCTCCCTCCTCCAACAAGAGACAGCTATTCTAGAAGTGAAATTTCAGTGACATTCATGAAAAGGAACTGGCCTCAGAGAGCTCTGCTGGCCTTGTCTCCCACCCCACCCCCCCACCCCCCTACCCTGAGCAGAGTTACAACATGGTGGGGCAAGAGTAGTTGCCCTCGGGGCGCCTGGGTGGCTTGGTCGGTTAAGCGTCCGACTTTGGCTCAGGTCATGATCTCACGGTCCGCGAGTTCGAGCCCCGCGTCGGGCTCTGTGCTGACAGCTCAGAGCCTGGAGCCTGTTTCAGATTCTGTGTCTCCCTCTCTCTCTGCCCTTCCCCTGTTCATGCTCTGTCTCTCTCTGTCTCAAAAATAAAAAAACGTTAAAAAAAAAATTAAAAAGAGTAGTTGCCCTCTTAAGCACTCTTGCTTATGTGGCGTTCTCTGCCTGTACTTCCCTTCTGATTTATCTGTGAATTTTTCTCCTCTGTCAACGAGTGGATCAGACACTGTCTCTGGAGACTTTCCTAGTGCCCCCAGCTGAGAGTAAGCTGTGTCCCTACTTACAGAGTTCTTCATATTTTACTTTAGAAACAAGGACTGAGCTTGATCACCACTCTCTCTCCACAATGTGTGTCTCAGGATCTTGAACGTAGCCAGTATTCAATAAATCTTGAATTAAGTCCACTTAGGATGTTAACAACAATAGTATAAACTGTGACATGAGAGTTTGTAATTTAAACATTTAAACATGGTGCACCGGTGGAGGGAAGGACTATTTTCTACTTTATTTTATGCTCTCACTTATTTTGTTAATTAACATATCTTCGAGTCTTTCAACATTTTAGGGGGGAAATGTTATTTAAAACACTTTCTCAAGACACCTTTTGAGTCTGGCTCTTAGGAAAATAACCGCCTCTATCCATGTGTTCCAGTGGCCTTCAAATGCAGCTGGAACCTTGGGAGGGTTACAGCTTCCTGCAAGAGCCTAAAATACTGAATTGCTATTGAAGGCGGCCCCCACCTGCACCCCTGTGCGTAAATAGAAGCAGACCCTGATTTGGTGCTGGAATAACATGAAGTTGAAGGCAGACTGGGTGGCCTGGCTGTTGGAGTCAGGATTCCCATTTACATTAAGAGCTGGTTCTGGACCATTTTGAATTATTGACTCATTTGGCTCTGCAGAAGTGCCACAGTAAAAAAATATGCATCTGGTCTCTCAAGGTTGAGTATCCAGGTTGGAAGTCAACCTGTATCACTTTGAAAATTGTCACAGACATGAGCAAGCATGGCAAGGTCTCCATGAATAAAAAAGGCCATTATATAGCGAGGCGTAATCCCCACATAACCTTGTTCTCAAAGTAAAGGTTTAAATGTGAAGACCGGCGTCCGGGGGCACGTAAAATCCCAGTAGTTGCTGCTCTGCCGCTCCTCACCTCTGCCCGTTCACAGCAAGGTGCCAGTGTGAGCTTTCAGTCTTCGATGGAACCTTGTGTTCCAGACATCGATATAAATCATGTTTCACGCAGTTTACGAGTGGTTCGCATATGCCTGAGTCGTTTCCTAGATCGAGCTGTTTAATTAATTTAAAAACGTTTTATTGGAGAATAACATACATATGGAAAAATTCTAAGTGTATAACTAGATTTTCACAGATTTTATTTTTTATTTTAAAGGGTGTATTGAGAATTAATCCAAAGAAGTTTCATGAAGCCTTCATTCCTTCCCCGGTAAGTTCAATAACTTTATAATAAACTTAATGTCACAGTTAATTTTTTAGATGTGCTCTGAAACTGAAATCGTGTATTCTAACTAAAAAGCAGAGTAGTAAAACAAAATCGAGGATGGGCAAGGATTTGTTTCAAATTTAAATAAGCAAAATTTGTCTTTGGCTAACAACCCCTTCTGCCCATCTTAAACCCACACTGCGAGTAAAGGGGACAGTACTTGTTACTAGGGCTGCAGAGAGCAGCTGAACCCACACAGACACCCACTAGTTTTTGCAGTTGAATGCCCTTGGTTTATAGCTTAAAAGGATTTATGGGTTTTTCTGATTTAAGTTAATCTTTCCTAAACACGCTATCTACTTTTGATCTACTGCGTGGGCTAATTTGCAAATATGTCCAAAAATAACGTGTAATGCTTTTTTTCTTTTTGGTCAGAGTTTCTCACTTCGCTTCTATGCAGGTGATAGGACTTGGTATAAGGCTCTTCACCGTTGGGTCTTTATACCCTCCTGATTCATTTTAACAGGCTCTCTCTCCTGTTAAGGGAAGTTCACTCTGACATATAGTTAGCAGGAGGTCTCTGGATAAGGCTTGATTGTGCAAAGCTAAGAGAGCAACATTCTCAAATTCCTGACGTGACTTTTCCAGGCTGCCATAAATAAGATAGCCGTAGAATTATAGATTTTTTTTTTAAGTTTATTTATTTTGAGAGGGAGAGAGACAAAGAGTGCGTGTGTGTGTGCGCGTGCAAGTATGAGCTGGGGAGTGGGGCAGCAGGAGAGAGGAGAAACCCAAGCAGGGTCTGTGCTGTTGGCACGGAGCCTGATGGGGGGCTCAATCCCACAAACCATGAGATCATGACCTGAGCCAGAATCGAGAGTTTGGACGCTCAACCGACTGAGCCACCCAGGTGCCCCCATTTATAGATGTTTTAACGGTGGAAGAGAGCATAGGAATAAATTTGAGCTTATTGATGAGGGAATGGAATATATATATATATATATATAT